CATTCCCTTCTTTTCCATCCATTTCCTTTTCCTTTTACCCTTTGTAAATAATCAGTCTCATTAATTTCTGATTTATTCTGTTTCTTTTTGCCCAAACAAGCAGAAACATGTATATTTTCAATAATTCTTTTTTCCTTCTTTCTTATGTAAAAGCTAACAAGCTATAGATATTTGTTCCACTGATATTTTCCCACACTATATTCAGGAAATCACCCCAGTGCATAGAACTCTCTGCCTCCTTTGTTATAGCTGCATAGTGCTCCATTTTGTGGTGGTAGCATTTTGGTGGGTGTATATGGGGGATTGAACCAGAAACATTCCTCTGAGCTATATCCCCAGCCCTTTTTAAAATTTTTATTTTTAAGGCAAGTTCTCACTAAGTTGCCAGGTGAACCTCAAACTTGTGCTCTTTCTGCCTCAGCCTCCTTAGTAGCCAGAATTGTAGGCATGTGCTACTGTGCCTATTTTATTCAGCCACACTTCTACATAGGAGCAGTTAGGTTACTTCTAATATTTCATAGTTATAAACAAAGGTGCAACATGCTTTTTTCATATGTTTTTGCAAAGTTGAAAGTATGACCATGAGGGCCGGGGCTTTAGCTCAGTGGTAGAGCGCTTGCCTACCATGTGTAAGGCACTGGGTTCGATCTTCAGTACCACATAAAAATAAATAAATAAATAAAATAAAGACATTATGTCTATCTACAAGTAAAAAAAGAATAAATATTTAAAAAAGAAAAAGAAGGTAAGACCATGAAGTAGGATACTGAGTCAAAAGGTTAATAAATGTATTACTTGATTAGATATCACCAAATTCCCCTCCAAAAAGATCATATAATCGCATTTCTACCAACCATTTATGAGGGTTCCTCAGACTTACTTTTAAACTAGAAGTGACGTTTTCAGAGCATTAAAACTGAAGTACTTTCAAACCATGTTGAAAGCCCACACAATCAGCTGTGCACTTAATGGATTAAGCTGGTTCAGTTGACATGCAATCTTCATTAGGAACAGTGTGGGAAATAAGAAAATCTTTTAGCCTAGAACAGCTACTCCATTGTAGAGCCTTTTTTTCTCGCATATCGATTTGCTGTGAGGAAGGATCTACTTTGTAGTGAAGGGAGTGGAATGGAAGAGGGAGGTGACCTACATATGGCTTTGGATATTTGGGTTCTCATCATGGAGGGTGCAGTGAAAACAGAGGTTTCCTCCCCTGCTTCTAATCATGCTCTGCTCCAGGCTAACCATATGGATTTTGATGTCATTGTTGAAATCTGCTGTTATCCATAGCTTTCCACAGAGCCTATATGTTTTGAAAGAATGATCTCTACCCCTGGATCTAGAAGAGGGACATATGATTCAGGACTAAGCTAACTAACCCATTCTGGGTCCCTGGTCATTGTCAATGTCTTGGGTATGTCCACACCCTAGAAGAGCCAGGTAGAGAGTATGCATCTTACAAGAGAAAAGATAAACTCCATTCATGTTTGCCTAACTGAGCCTCTCAACTAAAATAACCTTGAAGCCTATCCTACTTCTGGACTTTGTTTTGTGACTCAATAAATGTCATTTATTGTTTAGTGTTGGGTTTTCTGTGACTTGTAATTAAAAACATTTTGATTTATATAATGAGCAACTTTGGGATGACTGATGAAAACATTTCATAGGAACATGCTTGCATAAAGCTTTTCCACTCCAAAAGTCCATGAGTCATCTTGCCACTGATGGGTAATTCCACTACGCTCATGTGCCACTGAACAGTGGGGATAGGTTCTAAGAAGTGCCGCTGTTCGATGATGTAGGTCATTGTGTGAAACCAGACTACATACACAACTCTGATTGAGGAGAGAAGGTCTGTGCAAAAGGAATAGTTCTAAGATACTGAGTATTGAACGAGATTATAGACGAGTACAGCAGGAAAAATTTCCTAGTTAAAATAATGACTGCCATCCTTTATATTAATTAGTATCGTGCTTTTGGGCTGAGGTTGTAGCTTGGTGGTGGAGTGCTCCTGTAACATGTGTGAACCCCTGGACTCCATCCCCAGCACCACCCCCAACACTCCGTATAACACTTCTGTCTCCCCTTACCCACTCCCTGGTACCAGAATGGACCAAGGATGGTTTCCTGGGAAGGATTTTCGTGGAGCCCGTGGGCAGGGTGACATTCATTTTGGTATTTGACTTGGTTGTGCACCTTAATTTTTCACATGAAGACTTTCACTTGACTCAGAACACGACCCTGCTTTCTTGCTTTCCAGAAAAAACAAGTCCTCCGACTAGAATTTTTCCATCTCTTAGAGCGTCCTACCTGCAACTTACCTGCATCCGCATCCGCTCTTCCTAAAGCTGATTGCCACGCGTTCTCCACGGGGACTTCCTGAGGTGTGCAGGTGCGTCCCCGGGGATGGGCCCCGGGAGTTCCACTGCTGAGCACAACCCGCCTCTTTTTATTTTGAGACCTGGCCTTGCCAAGTCGCTGAGGGTGGCCTCACTGGTGTCACAGGCGTGTGCCACCGTGCCCAGCTGGAGATCGCGCCCTCATCCACCAGTCCCCGAAGCGCTCCCGGCCAGCTGGCCAGCTCGTAGACACACCCTGGTCTTTTCCTTTAAAAAATACCAGTTACACACCATATAGGTGTGACGTGCCGTGGGCAACGAGCTAGAATAAAAATCTAGACTTCCGTGATCACACGCGCACGCACACGCACGCACAGTATCAGGTGTGGTCTCCTTCACAGCCAACTGTTTTCCGGCCAGGCCTATTTACGGGATCCCCTGCCCCTGTGGTCTGCGTGTTCCCCCCACATTCCTTTAACCTATCACAATCTCGTCAACCCCGTAACACAGCCCAGAACTGTGCCCGTTGCTCGTCTGTGAAACGCCGGTGGCAGAACGCCCGCCGGCGTGCGGGCGGCGCCCGGGCACCGTGTGGACCCTGTCGCGATCCTTAGTTCCGCTCAGACCGCAGGAGCGTCGGGCC